TGTATGTAGGATAACAATATTTAATGCATTTGTGCAAGTTACAAGAGTAAATTTTTTGGAAATACCTTACCCTAAACTGTGAACATGGATATGAGAAGAGATGTACTTTGCCAAAATCATCCCCCGTTGATAGCAGTTTTCTCCCATGTGATCGACAGACAGCGTTGATATCTGTTCCATCTGAACCTTCAGGCCATACACCTGAAACACAGAGGGACTAATTAAAGGTTTTTATAATGGAAATAAAAGTGACAGCTTACGGTTTTGTTAAAATATGAATAAAGGATTACTTGTTTAAAAAAAAGAAAGAAGATAAAACTATAAAATAACTGCAGCTGAGTCAGTGTGTGTACTTCAGTACCAGCAAAAGACCAGATCCTAATAGGAAATGAAGCACATAAACAAATACTTGATTTCCTTTAGTCAGCAAAGTGCTTTTTACTCTGAAAAAAAGAATTCTGCTGAATTACGGTCATGTGTCTGAGCCTAAAAGAATTTTCACATGGTTATGTAGAAAAATAACAGTTACTGCTTTTATTTTCCCTTCTGCTTCTGTATGAGCTAACATACTTTCTTCATACTACTGTAGTCTAAAAAACTACCTATGTTTGATTCAACATACTTTCTTTATATTACTAAAGTCTAAAACCTCTGAAACAAGAAATTATATAGTTCAAAATGTTATTTAGTAATTAATGGATCCCTCGAAAAGAAACAGAACCTAATCTAAATTTTTAAAATGCTTTTGTTTTACTGTAATTCTCCTCCTTCCTCACGTCCTCTACTCCTTGCTGTTCTTGCACAAAGTGGTGTTCTACAGTTAAACTGTAGGCTCATCAATGCAAGGACCAAATCTATGCACCACATCTTTAAAGCCTCTGAATACTTGCCTGTAACAAATTGCAATTGTAATAAAATCCAACCAGTTATTGAAATTTTATTTTTTTGTATGCAGTACTGTGGGGTTTTTTTTATGATTTTCGTAATTCAGATTTTATCTAATCCCTACTCAACCTAAATGATACTTAACTTTCAGAGACCACTGACGTAATCAGTTACAATGTGTGTTCCGCCATTATGATTTGGCAAAAAACCCGCCTTGTCTTGGCGTTATGATTTTCAATGACTGTCCCTATGTCACACATCCCTGCAGCGTCCCCCTGAAGTCCTACCACTTGAGTGCATGCTCTTCCTTCGTTGTTATTACAGGTCAGGATAAGACAGTTGCTACTCCCCCTGCTTGCCCTGCCATCTCCTGGAAGGATGCCTATGCCTGCAGGCAGGGCAGGAACGCTCCAGCATCCCTTCTTTGCGCTACTGATGACACCAAAGTGGGCATCTGCCCTGCACTGTGGAAACAGCTAGCCCTCGATCCGCATGTAATTATTCCCAAATACAGTCTTTGTACCATTGCACAGCAATTCAAAAGCACTAAGAGGAAGTGATTCCATGTCTTTATACGGAATTACAAATTGTTGCAACTAAAATGACACAAAGTTCTGATTTGTGGGCTGCCACTAACTCTCCAGACGCGTGTAGAAACACATCTTTGCTAGATTGGGGTATTAAAAAAGAGGCAGGGAAGAAAGAAAAGGAAAGTGCAAAGAAGAAACACGGTAATTGCTACTCATGGAATTATGAATACGTAGAATGAAGAGACACAGAAAAGCTGTTCTAAATAACTGCTTTGACAAAAAGGAGGCTGTATGAACATCAACGGCTAGCTGAAAAGAGACAGGCATCTTTATGACAAGCTGGAGATAACCCCTAAAGGAAATGGTTTAAGAAACAAGATTGCCATTTTGAAATGGGGAAAGGATCATATCAGGTTTTTTTTTTTTTTTTGAGACTCTGTGCTCTTTCAAAATTTATTCCAGTGCCTCACTGTTAGTTTTTCCAAATATGTGAACTGAATCCCCTTTGCTGAAAAATGAGTCCATTTTTTTCTTCCCATCCTCTGCAGACGTGGAAAAAGAGACCATTTCCTTTTTCTTATTTGAAGATCAATGCCATGCATTTTTTCTCCTCCTGTTCTCTAAAATTCATTCATTACATCTCTTCTCACAGAACAATGTTTAGATGGATAATTATTCTTGCTAGTCAGCACTTTATCTGTTGGTCCAACATGCAAAAACCAGAAGCAGCTATTCCAGCTGTGACTGAAGCAGATACTGATAAATGGATGATTACTTCACATTTTGCATGGCATCCTTTTCATTACATATCCCACTAATGCATCTGCCTTTTCTACAACAGCATAATGCTGTTGACTCACGTTCAGTTTGTATGCAAGAGTAATCTGATCTTTCTGTGCAGATCTACTCTCTTGCTTGCTCTCCTCCTCCTCCTGTTTTGTATTTGTACAACTGGGTTCTGCTGTTCAAGTGTGCAACCTCCTATTTGTCTCTATTGAATTGTCCCTTTTTTCATACCATTCCTCTATTTCTCAAGACAATTTGCTAATCCTGCAGTTTCACGCCACGTACAAATTATACACGCTGTTTTATCATCCATGCTATTAATAAATATATTCAAACAAACATAATATTCAGTGTACAGCCTTCTAGTCAGTTTTGAACCCAACCAGTTTGAGCTCTGCTTTGCTTGCAACGTTGTCAGGCTTTGCACAGCATCTTAGATTTCTTCTGTTCCTGTCCTTCACCTCAAATACTAAGTTTTCCAAAACTGGGCATATGATATGAACTGATGCCTTGGTTGCGTATCCAGCAGCGCACGGCTTTTGCGAGAGCATACAGATCAGTAAGTGTTTTAAAGTCTTTAGTCCTTCACATTTACTTGTGTTTGTATCACTAAAATATCCTCCATCAGACACACTTTACATGCTGTTGATTTTCATTTGAATAATCTCTAAAACATTTCCAGGCTGACTAATCTGTTTGCATGCTTGAAGACAGGTGTTCAACAGATCAATGTTAATTTTATCCCCTGCATTGGTTATGTTGCTCTGCGAGTGCTACGCATATTTTATGTGGTTCTACTAGAGTGAGAAAATATCCCTAGTTTCAGTCAGCCAGTAGCTACTGAAAAATCAATATACTAGATGCCTCATGTCCTTGATGATGCGATTGCTTCTTCCACGCCCAGTGGGGCATTCCCAGCAAGCATTTAAAGACTGTTCACACTGGCTGCTCTGAGCTCCCAAAGTACTGAATAGTAGAGTGACTTTCAACATTACCGGACTGGTTTCCAATTTATAGTATATGAGTTTCTGCAATTTATTATTCTAGCCACTAACTTTTCACTTTATCCTCTCCAAATGGGCTCTGAAGGTAAGTACATGATTCCACAGATGTTGCATTCATTCTTCTCCATTTTTCCAGTACCTTGCCTGTTCTCTATGAGGTCCTGAAAGTAAGTACTAATGGTCTTGAGATTATGCTAACCAGTTGTTTTTACAGACACAACAAGGCTCATCACACTCAGATATTTTGAAAATATCTAGTTCCTAACTATTTTCTAATCTTTTCTCTCCCTACTGAAAGCAGAGGTGTTATCCTTTCATTATCGGCACTGAGTTAGTCATCAGATTGCAGTAGGTCTTCTAATGAAGACATATTAAAAAGAAAAAAAAAGGTTTTTTTAAACATTTCAGCTTTAGCAGCGTCATCTCTTCTCTCCCTCCTCTCCGCATAGCAGACAAATATTGTCATTGGCCCTTCTTTTATTACTGTACTTGTCACTTGCATTTATGTTTAGGTTTTGGTTGTATGTCTCCTTGGTCCTTTCTACTTTCTGCACTCCTCTTCCTTGCACGAACGGTTTAACCAAGTTTGTGTCTTGCTGTCATTTCTATCTTTTCTCTGGGCTGGCAGTTTGTGCCCTTCGTACCTTTTAATGAATTACTGCATCTCATCTTTTCTCCAACTTCTGATCTTCCCTAACGGGCTTTGAACTTTTGCAGTTTCCCTCCCTGAAGTCCATTATTTTCATTTTGTTGCTCTTTTTCCTTCCTATACTAAGGATCACACCTCCCTGATTCCATAGTCATTCCTACACAAGGTGCATTCACATTCTCAACAAGTTCTTTCCACCTCCCCAGAATCAAATCTGGAAGAAATTCCCCTCCTGGTGCTTATCTATTTCCTGTATCAGAAGAACTTTGAGAACTTGCTGGTTAGCCAGTGTACTCGCAATTCCTTTCCCAAAAGACACTGGAATATTTAAAATCTCACATCCTCAGAAATTCCTGTGATTTGACTGATTCTGCTAGCTATTAAAAAAAAAATCCATTCATTTGATCTTTCTGGAAGGATGGGCTACAGTATAACCCTGCCACCATCAATATTCTTTTTTTCATCTATAATTATTATGCATTATCTTTGTAACTTCCCAGTCTGAACCTAACTGTATAGCTACGAATCCTCAGCATATATGGCACCATGTTCCGTATATAAAAAAGTTCCACCACTTTGGCATTACACATCCTTTCTGAATAAGTTATATCCTTTTATTTTAAAATGCCATTCATTTGATGAACATCCTCACAATCTCTATTACATTACTAAAATAATAATTGTGATAATTATTAAAACTAGCAACTACTTTTATTTACTCCTCATCCCTGTTGCTTTAGCTTAAAATACACCAATTCAGCATGGAGGACTGCAAGTATAAAAAAGTATATGATGTTTCCACATGTTCCCCATCGGCCCAGTAAATCATTTTGTTCGACAGACCTGCTCCAAAAGCTGATCTGTTCCAAGGGAGAAAAAACCTCTCCTAGGTGTGGCACCCCTCTCCTATGAGACTCTATGCACCACAAGCAGCCCCATATTCTGATAGCACTATATTTTGCATTAATCCCAATCATAAAGTCACTCAAAGAATTCATCATTTCAGAATATCTGAACCTTTGATGCTAAATGCAAAGACTTTGTGGCTCTGTAACTGCATGTCAGGTATACCCAAAGCCCAGGAATATGCTGATAGTTCTATAAGGGCCTTCATCCCTCATATAAGAAACATACTAAGTTAACATGCAGCCAGTCTTCTAGGACTTCCTCCTTTTACTAAACTGTGTGTTGTAGCGATACTCAAGCATTGCTTGTCAGTTAAATTTTAGAAAATTTGAATATTTCTTCCCAGCATATTGCTATTGCCATCCCATTTTCTAGGCTCTAAAAACATGTCCTTTCTGGCTGCTTTCAAACACATCACTGCATCTATTCAAAACATGGGTGAAAATCTTCCTTGCTTACTGCTTATACTAAACCAGACTCTTCTCTGAACTTCTACCATGGCTTCCTATTTTATCTTGTGGACTCAAGAATTTGAAGCTTCTTGTACTCAGCTTTTGTAACGATCTGTCTAGTTCTGCACACATTTTGGAATGAGTACAAAGCTTCAGAGCACATTGGGGAAAGCAGGTCCTTGAAAACTGGCAGAAGAGAAGTCCCATGGAAACAAACCATCCTCATTTTTCTTCTTTCTTCTTGCATTCCTTTCACCTCATTTAATTGTTATATATTGTATCAAAATACATTGTAAGTACTTAATGACAGATACTGTCACCCGTTTGGTGTTTGCACAGTAATTGGTGCAAATGAAAGTGGTTCTGGTAAGGGGATTTCACCCAGTAGCTGCTTAAATAAACGATAATTCTATAGAACTGGTACTTTAAATTTAAAGAGACGAGAAGCAGCTCTAGTGTGACAGAAAAGGCAGTGTGTGATTTCTTCCTTGTCTCCCACTTATGTTGTAATTTAATATTTATACTTGAAGCTAGCAAGAATATTAAATCAGAGTCTTTCTGGATTGAAATAAGAGGACAGATTGTAATAAAAATGGCATAACAGAAGTTCTGTATTTTTCCCTGAAACATGAATAGTCATGTTTCATAAGAAAAAGTTGGCAATCCAAGTGTTTGTTAATAAGAAGAATGGTAACAACTTGTAAGAGGAAAGATACTTACCAAAAACATGGAATCCTAAAGTACAGGTGTAAGTGGCCCACTCTAGATCTCTAGTTGTTTCAACACTCACGACTTGTTTACAAGCAGAGGGGATCCCTACAAAAGAAAAAAAACCACACAAGATAATGTTTTTAATTCTCAAATTGTATAGATTTTTGATTGCACCAGATGAATTAAAACATATGGTCTATCTTGGCAGTTATAGGGTCTCATTTAAATTTTAAATCTGTATTAGACTGCCTGAACTTTGTACAAAAGGACCAAATATAATTCTTACTCACAGTATAAGATTTCATAGTCTCCTGAATTAGACACAAGATACTGTGAATTAACAGACCAATCCAGATGAGTAATGAAGCTGGAATGACCCTACAAAGAGAAAAATGTTGTATTAACTGCACTAACAGTATCTCTCAATGTGACAGTACTAATACAGGGCTACAAAACATACTTAAGTTGTTAATATTAAACCCAGAGAAAAAAAGGTTCCTTACCGAACATTTGCCAATTCTAGTGTACTTTCTTCCATTTTCACTTATGCCATATATATAAATACAGTTGTCATGGGAACCTATTGCCAAGAAGTTTCCATCTATAAACACAAAAGCGAAGAGTAATTATTCCTGTAAGAAAGAACTTAGGCTAACTTTGAAAAGTTAGTATGTCACAGACAAGAGGAACTGTTCTTAAAGGCCTTGACACCGAAAAATGAAAAAATAAAATTCTATTTTTTCCTTTTTCAGTTGCATATTGATGCATGTTTCAAGATTACAAAACAGCAAGTTTATACAGCAAATATTACTGTTAAAAACACATGACACTTTGGGAAGCAGCTACAGTCCATTTAGGGCTAACCTGATTGCAACAACCTGCACAGTTAAGTCATATTTGGTTTTTTCCTTCCCAGTGAAACTATAGTGAGCACGTGGGGGAGGGAGGGAGGGAAAAGAAAACTAGAGCTTAAGACACCACCCATTCAGTGCTGCCAGTGTTTCACAGCATATTTATTTTCAACTTCAGTATGGCAAGTGGGGAATTATTTTAAAACAAATCAACCCCAAATTTAATAAAAAAAAGGCAACACTTTTTTTTAACCAGTAAATAAACGCTCTCAAACCTGGTGAGTAACGCATTACAGACAGCTGTTCGTTTCCATCTGTGTGTACAGTGACCAAGTCTTTTGTTTCTGTGTCAAACACAAACCACCTGTTGTAAATACGGAAAGAGGCCAATAAATCATTCCATAAGGAATTTCAATCTACTGTATTCTTGACCAACTTTTCTTCTGTCAAAATAGCATAAGTTTTACACCAGCAAAAGAAAAACAGCAACTGCTACTCGGTTTGGTTTATTTTCACTTTAACAGAAGGATAGTTTCTTTCCCATGTTTTTTAACCATAAAAACGATCAGACATTGACCCTGATATCAGTCTTCAGATTTTAGTCTGTTTTATTATGTGTCCTGCATTAGAATAAAGTAAGCATTACATATAATGACCCTTCTGTTTTAATGACCCTCCTCTATGCTATGCTCGCATTTAAATTGATGCCTACATTAAATCCTAGAGCAAAGGAAAACACAAGCAAAAATTAGGACCATTCTCTTCTGATAGAAGGATTAGCTTTATTTATTAATTTATTTTAAAATTAA